CCCGTTTGTTTCACGTGGAGACTGAGTCTTACATCAGCCCCTCAAGAGAAGCAAAAGGAAAGCAACAATTTCAAAGATAACAAGAGCAGGAGAATTGGATTCACAAGCTAGTAGACAGTAGCAGAGAATAAAATAGCCATGTTAGATTTATGTTTTTTTAATAAAACAAAACTTTTGGCCTTCCTTGTTGGGGCGGCGGTTTAAGGCCCGGCCTTGGGAGGTTAAGGCCCTTTCCGGCCGGTTTGGTTCCCGGCGGGCCCCGGGGTTGCCCTCAGGGCCAGCAGACCTCCCCTGACCTGCCCGCTGCTCCCCTCAGCAGCGCACGACATCAGTCTGCCTGTTCTGCTCCCCGCTCTGTCTCTGGTGAGTCCTGTCACCGCCCCTGCATCTCTGGCCTGTACCCCAGTTCTGTGTGCATAAATAAATAAATCTTAAAAAAATAAAAATAAAAAATGAAGTTGGGAAAGGCATAAAAAGATGGAGACAAATTAAGTAAATGAAAATTCTACAAACACATATATGCACTTCTTGTGATATAACGTCCTGTATTCAACGCACCAGTGTATCAAATAGATAGCACAGGTATGCTACAAAATATCACGATATAATACCCTACATAGACCTGAAAATATGATACATACCAAAAAATAACAGAAATAAAAAATGTCACAGTGACACTAATAATCAATACACTGGTGTTGGCAGCAGACTAAACCTAGCAGAAGTCCTGATTATTTAACTAGAGACGGGATAATAAAAATATTTAAATTCAGTCAAAGAAAGGGGCTTCGTAGACAGCAGAAGAGAAACACGTCAGGGCCGTCCAGGAGCAACGCAGGTCACGGCCGCGAGGGCCGCCCTCCGGGCAGAGCAGTGTCCAGGCCCGAGGCCCGGCGCTCCCCGCCGGCCGCCACGTGGCCGCGGCCCAGCGGAGGGTGAGCGCGGCGCCTGCCCTCCTCCTGGGGTCACCCCAAAGTGGGCGCCGCTGCCCGCCGCCCACCCAGGGTCTCCGGAAGTCATCCGAGCCCCGTTGCCGGGATCCCCGCCGGGACACGTCTTGGGGTGCCCCAGCCCGCCAGGGACCGCGGCGCAGGAGGCGCGAGCCCCCGCGGCGCCGTTAGTCATCGCGGCGTCTGGGCTGCTCCTCCGGGGCCCGCCGGGCGCCTGCCAGAGCGACGCCGTCCCGGGGGCCGTTTGCGGTCAGGAAACCTCCTTCCGTCGCAGCAGGCGGCACCGCGCGGAGGCATAAAGGGGCCCGCGGCCGCCCGGCCGCACCCCGCCCTCCCTGGACCTCACTGCGCCCTGGACATGGCCACGCCCTGCGAGCTGCCGCGGTGAGTTCCGGAGCGCGAGCCTGAGCCCCTTCGGCCACCGGCGCCCAGGCTCCCGCCCGCCGCCGCCTCCCCTCCGGCGCGCACACCGCCAGGGCGGTCAGCAGCGCCCCGTGTGGCCTTAGGGCGCCTCCGCCACCGCATCCAGCCCGGGGGCTCGGCCAGGGCCTGTGCCCGCGCCCCGCACAGCGCCCCCCGCCCTGCTGGTGATGCACCGCAGAGAAAGCCAAGTCCGAGGAGAGAAGCCGGCGGTATGGGGGCGCACGCACCCCTGTCCCCCCCGCAGGGCCCACCGCTGGGGGCGCTGCTGACACTGCGCAGGCCTGGGGGCGCCGGCTCCCCGGGTCTCAGCAGGCAGCTCCAGCGCCCAGGGTGAGGGCGACTCACTGGTCAGCAGGTGAAGGGCGCGGAGCCCTCGGCCGGACAGGGCAGCCTGGGACACGTCCCCAGAGGCCGGCTCACATGCAAGGGTGGGGTGGGGGGACAGAGGTGGCTGGTGGGCGCCTGGCCCCAGCAAGATGGGCTGGCCCTCGGGGTGGCCAGGGCGGAGAGGCCGGGCCGCTGCTCGCCGAGAGCCGGCTTGCGGCAGCGTGTCCTCGGCCAGGGAGGCC